GAAGTCCAAGGTCGGCTTCAGGCCGGCCACGTTCCAACCTGGTCATTACCAGAATCTACCCAAAACTTAATATGTCAATAATATGTCTATATAAATAGATATAATGAGATAGTAATATGGTAATCAATATGATAACGTTCTATTTCATAGAATAATGTGTTGAAAAGGGTAATCCTCAAAAAGATAGAAAAGTAGTTTATTGACTATGTTAGTGAGAGTTTAATTTAGTGTAATCCTCATCATGTGTCTATATATATAGTAGTCCAAAACAAGATGGAAAAGGTTCAATTAGTCACTATTCTAGTACGAGTTTATTTTTTGATCTTATGGGTGATTAACATAGTCATAGTTGTAAGTTATAAGTGAAACATCTATAGTTGCAAGCGGGATATAGTATGAGATAGATATATGTATCTGAAATAAATACATATCAATACTGTATAGGCATCCCAAATTAGAATAAAAAAGATGCCGAAAAGTGTTTCCACGATATGGGTCATGTTTTCCTAGGTATTTTCAAGCTGTCCAATTTTTGAATCTTTTTTGGGGTTGCTATACGCAAAATGCAAACAATCACTAAGGATCAACAAATCTGCAGTTTCAGTTGCGATGTTGAGCTCCGTATGTCAGCCCTGTCAGCCCTCGAAAAGTTTCATGACTGCTGAAAATCGCCAACTCAGGTTCATGAAAAAAAGGGGGAAAAAGATGGAAAATCAAGAATTCATGGTTTACCATGGTCCTTACTCTGAAACATCAGGCTTTCCGCTGCATTTTTTTCCCATCAACTGCGGCCAATTTTGCCCAGCAGCTGATGAGGTGAATATCTTGGTAGCTGGCCATGCTGCATCGAGAAGTTCATCCAATTGTACAGCGCAGTGCAGCGGCGTGGTTTACAACGAAATTCCCACTTGATTCTAAGGGCATCATCCCCAATAGATAACCATCATCTTGTGACAATCTCAATATATCAAAGAGTGTAACTATGCATATTCAATGTATTGTGATAGTACAACTGTGAGATATGGGGTTATACATGGTCATACTCCAACAGATTGGATAGTACAACTGTGTATGTTCCCTTATAATCATCTATCAACAGGGGCTTTTCCAACCTCTGCTCATGTAAATTTGCTGATGAGCTGATGAGCGATGAGACTCCCTATGCGCCACTGGGTGTCGATCCAGAATGGCTCAACAGCTCCTGTTGCCTTTTCGTCCAGAGAATCACCTTTCCGAATGAACAAATTGAAAACATTTGAACACCGGACAGTGTATATATATATATACTATGTGTATATATATACATATGAAGGGACTCAAAATGCAATCATCATTTGGAACCCTTTGAGCATTGTCGGCAACAGGGTTGAAGCAGTCGAAAACCAACACTAATCCAACCATCCAGGTGATACTTTCCATATCTTCCGATTCTTCTGTTTTCCAGGCGATTTCTAGGCCCGACAGGTGAGATGTTCCCCGAACCGCGAATCAGCGCTGTTTTAGGCGACTTCGAGCTGTACTCCTTGCCTCCGCTAGTGCCGAGCCTTTTTGACTGGCGACAGTACCATGTTGGCACCGCGCTGAAACCGCGGGAAATCCTTCGGCCCTGCCATGCGTCTGTTACGCGCCTGCAGGCACCGCTCGCGTTAACCAACTAGTGACAGGAGAACCAAAGGTCAAATGTATTCACATACAGTATATGTACCCTCTGGTAAATTAACATAGCTATGGAAAATCACCATTTTTCATGGGAAAATCCACTATTTCTATGGCCATTTTCAATAGCAAACTGTTAAATTACCAAACACCAATGTCATCGATGGTTGGAAGTTTCGACCTCCAGACTTCGGGAAAACACCATCAGCAAGTGTCAAAACATGTCAAAACCAGACCCATTCCCTATGGTTCTTGGCTAAATATATATATATATATCCCAATAAATGAAATAGATCCCGCTTAAATCCCAACTTTGTCTTAAATGTCACTCGACTCCCAACCATATCATTATATATATATATCCCAAACCTTCAATCCCAACTAAAAAAAAACAACAAAAAATCGCCATGCTTATTGGATGGAACCTTGGTTCTATATCACCAAAAAAGGCCCAAAAAAAAACATGGAAATCGGCGCGGCTCACATCGCCGCCAACCTCGGGATTTGGGGGAGACACTGTGGTGATTTTCCATGGGAATCTGATGTTTTTTCGATAAAAAATTGGGATTTTTTGTTGGGATGAAAAATTGAGATTTACTTGGGATGTACTTGGGATTTGGATTTGGGATATCATTTGGATATAGTTGTTGTTTTTTTTGTGTAGTTGCAACTAGCCCAAAAATTGCCATATGTCTAGTGTTTAATGCAGTGAAACCCAATACTTCGCCATCCCCAATTTTCCAAAAATTGGCTAGTATTAACCACCCAAAATTGGAGGTTGTTATGGAGTTTACATGCGTGTACCCGATGTTTTTGTTCGATTTTTGATGAGACAACGGTAAACCAAAGAGTTCGGCTTTCTCCAATTTGAAGAAACAAAATGAAACAAATGTATCTCCTGTTGTTGCTCCATGTTTTCAGGAAAGCCCAGTTGTACTTGAAACCATCAGTTCTTGTCCTTGAAGCATGGCGATGGGTCATGGAGTCAGTCGGAGCCAGTCGGAGTCAGTCACCCAGTTCCGAGGGAATTACCGGCACCAGTTAACAGAAAAACAGGCCCATCTACCCTCTGGTAAACTAACATAGCTATGGAAAATCACCATTTTTCATGGGAAAATCCACTATAAATGACAATTTTCAATAGCTATGTTAAATTACCAGAGGGTAGGTACCATGGTCACAACATCCAGAACGACGTCAGCCACTTTTTTTGGGGGGAATGCCTTGGTGATCCGGAAATTGCCTGAGAAAATTCCCACGCAGTCTCAACAGAGCTTGGTGAATGTCCCACAAAATGTGGATTTTGAACATCACTTTCAAGATTATATCCTAATGTTGTTGGGTGATGTGAAAAATTAGGACATTTTAGTACCAACCCCTGGTCATACGCCATCCACGATCAGACAGTATCGCCCATCTGAGATCTTTTGGGTTCCTTCAAAAGTGCTGAAGGCAATTGATGATCGTGGGAGTTCTTCACCAATTAGCCTCTGGTTATTTAACCTAGCGAGCTGGAACGTCGTCATTTTTCACATAGGTAAATCATCATGGTTATATTTTATAACTGGTTGGTGGTTTCAACCCCTCTGACATATATGAAAGTTAGTTGGGATTATTATTCCCAATATATGGAAAAAAAAAAATGTTCCAAACCACCAACCAGATAATCTAGAAATGGACCATTTTCCGTAGCTATGTTAAATATCCAGAGGGTGACCCGGACCCAAAATTGTGAAATCAAAGCTCTTTGGAAAATCCCTGCGTTTCTTTGGAGAAGAAAAACATCTCTGTTGATCAAAATATCAATCTGCCTTGATTCAATCTCTTGCTCAGTTCATTTTGGTTGATGGGATTAACACCCAATGAGATCCAACTAGGAAATCCCTGAACCCAGCTCCCCTGGGCATTCGCGGCTCTAAATCTAAGTCGACGTCCTTTTTTTCGGTCGAGGAGGAGAGGTTGACGTCCCAGGGAATGGAATTAGACATTGGAATGGGGAAAATGATGATCAGCGGGACTTGGGGATACCCATGGATACCCTATTTTCAGACAAACCCGTCCACCAACACAAACTGCTGCGACCAACAAACATCCAACCAGTACTTCAATACTTGCGTAACCATTCAAGATCAGAATGCAATCAACATCAGTTGGTTGTGGTCAGATCCAACTCAATATCTCCCTGTGTCTCAGTCTTCGAGAGTGGATGACAAGGCAAGGGCTTCATACAACCCTCCTACCGGTGTTTTGGGCCTTTGGGTCCTGCTGATTTCATTTTGGTCGGAGGCCACGGAAAGAGAACACCACAGGCTTCGAGGCTTCTCAACTTTGGGAACTTCAAAATCACATTGCTGACCTCGTGGCTATTTCTGCGTTTATAGCAACCCTTAAATAGATGCCAATAAATTCCAATGGATCCCAATAGATCCCAATCCCAAACGTGCGAAACCTGCGAAAATGTGCACGTTCTCCTCTGAAAATCTGTTTTGGGATTTCCTGTGATCTACAAAATGTTCCATAATTCTTGGTTATATCCCACCATATCTCTAATATTATCCCATAAAGTCAAAAAAAAACATGAAAAACACCATAAAAATTCTAAAAAATATGTTTAAAAAAAAAGTAAAAATCCAATAAACATCCCAAAATCCCATAGAAGATCTCGGAAAATCCAAGAGAAAAAAAAGTGGCATCAGGTCGCAGCCTCCATCAAGATCAAGGTGTCACCGCACATGCCTCGCAGAAAGTGGGGATGAAAAATGTGTAGGGGATACAGTACCGCAGTGTTCACGTATTATGGTAATCTATGGTTGATATTATGAATATAAATAATGGTAATAATGGTAATCTAATTATTAATAATGTTATAATATTATGAATATAAATAATGGTAATCTATGGTTGATTAATTGAATATAATCAGAATATAATTATGAATATAAGTAATCTATGGTTGATATAATCATGTCTTTTCCCATATAGCAACTTAAACTAAAAAGAATCCAACATATATAGATCCCTTCCTGGGCAAAAACAACGATTGTTTAGTTTGTTGGTTCATCAAGCTATATCCTGGTTGGTGGTTTCAACCCCTCTGAAAAATATGACTTCGTCAGTTGGGATCATGACATTCCCAATGTATGGAAAGTCATAATCCAGTCATGTTCCAGTCACCACCAACCGTTGTATCCTATTGATATCCATTCTATGCATATATCGTGTCATGATAATTTGATGCATTTACTGGGGGAGAACCATCCATTGTCGCTCCAGCGTTTGTCTGAAAAGAGGGTACCCGAAAATCCACTACCCAGTCATGGCTAAAGGCCGATAAAAGAAAACAT